GTCCGGGCGGCTGAGGCTGCATCCATCGGGCTGTAGGCGGCGGCGGTCGCCTGCGCGGGGTACGCGATTGCCGCTGGCATGTTGCTCCAGCCCATGCGGGCCCGCACGCGGCAGGTCGGCTGCCGCCCCAAGCAGTTCCACGGGCACGCGGGCGGGGATGGGCACGGCCGCACCCAAATCCTCCATGTCGTGGGAGCCCTGCCCCACGTCTGCCATCCTAACCCCCCCTGCTAGCGCGCCGCGCAGAAGTGCAGCCAGCAGGATGTGCAGGGTGCAACAGGTGTGCACCTGCTGCTTTCCTTCATTCCTCCCTAGCGGCAGCATTAGCCGTCTATCGCAAAAGCATGCCTTTGCGCCATTAAATGTGAATAAGGGATGGCTTGAGGAGGTGCGGGGGAGTATGCGTATGATACACACGTGTGTGGGTGCGCATTTGTAATCAGTCAATCATGTGTGAACCACCACTATTGTATGTGTGTGGCAAGGGGACACATTGCGGGGTTGCCATGTTTTTTTGTTTGCACCAAAGGTTTATGTAAGTTTACTTTGTGGGCTTGCATAGCATATCGCCGATGATTGCAGCAGACTGGACCACCTGACCAGCACTTCCACACTTGGTGTTGCCGGACGCCCTCTGTCGCCCATCGCAGTGCGTTGCTACTCATGACTGTACGCACAGGCTCCAACCACATCTGATTATGTTGGTGTGTTAGTCCCAATCTCAATGCTTTCCCACACAGCCACACAGAACAAGCTGAGCAGGCGGCAGGTCAGGCCAGACGTGTGGAGTTGAAGTGCTGTGCTATGGTACCATCATATGATATTTTGCTCCGTATTGGCCATGACCTGGCTACATGTGTCACCCTGCTGTCCTCCACTCTGACTCGTTGCACCAGTTCTGTGCAACATTGAACAAAGTAGCAGGTGCAAGCCATGCTGCGCACCAAGATTCCTTTGCACGCCCCAGACCGCCTTGGGCTCCTTCAACATGCGCAGATGTTCCAAGTGCTGACGAATCAACAACCTAGTGTCCAGGCGCTGTACGTCGCGCTGCGCGGCCCTCTGTATCCGCACTGTGGCAAGCACCCTCCCATGCCGATTCACTGTCAGAGTCATCATCATACGCGCACGTCCGCCTTGAATCGTTGAGGCAGGCCTCGATACCTCAATTGTTTTGCTCTAGGGCACTGTTCTACGATCAAAACGATGCTTTGGGGTGCTCTGCAGCGCGCAGCAATTTCATGCCTTGTCTCGACCCTGCGTGGTGGTGCGCCAACAGCCGCTAGCCAGCTTACAATTGCGAGTTCGGCTGGGACATTGCTTTCAAACAATAGGACAGCGCACCACGCTCTTATAATGGCGCCATCTATGGTCGCAGCAGCCCCTGGTGCGAGTTCTACGCTCTCAACAGCTGGACGGCTCTGCGCATACTTCAGAGAATATATATAGCTGTCTGAAGCCATGGCAGGGGGCGGGACTCGGCGAACGGGCTCTTGGGCCGGCGACGCAGGGCCGCTGCACCATGTTGATGCTGACGCTGCTCGCCGCGCACCTGGTTGCTGCGACGAGGTAGTTTGTGATGTCTTCACGCTCCCCCTTGCTCTTTGCACTGCAGCTGCGACGTACAACACAATGACCGCCCCGCCGCCCGCCACAGCGCCGCCCAGCGCGCTGGCAACGGCCACGTCAGCTGACAGCGCAATGGCACATCTGCGCTCGCTGGCGGCGCCGCTCGACCGCTACCTCGCCCTGCGCGACCTCATGACGGCGGACGCGCGGGCCTACTACTCGCTGCTGCTGTCGCACACCGAGGAGATTCTGCCCTTTGTGTACACGGTGCGATGGGTCAGCTTTGTGGCTGGCAGCGATGATGAAGGAAAGCCAAAAGGCAGCACACAATCGCGGGGGCATGGGCTGAAATGACGGCGGCGAATAGTCCCTGCCTGCAAAAACATGCTGCAGACACTGACTGCTGGCGCTCCCTGCTCCTTACACGCTGGGCAGCCCACTGTTGGCGATGCGTGCCAGCAATACCACCAGCTGCCGCTCAAGCCCTGGGGCCTGTACCTCTCATTGGAAGACAAGTGCGCAGCGCTGCCAAGCACCTAGGGGCAAGGACGCATGCTGGAGCCGCTGCCGCGGCTCATGATGGTACATTCATCGGCTGGGGCAGCGCACATTCGTGCACTGTTTGCCTGCAATGGCGGATGCATGGGCGACATGCCCAAGCATCCCTGCACGCATGCAGTGCGTGGCTTGAGCAGCCGCAGAAGAGGTGCTTGCTGGCGCCGCCGAGCCCCACGGCACACTCTGACCAGCTCGCTTTTTGCCGTGCTCACGCGTCCCTCTTTCAAGGGGCCGTGTCCTGCAGAAGCTGCTGGCGTGGCGGCAGCAGGACGTGCGGGTCTCCGTCATGACAGATGGAGAGCGCATCCTGGGCCTGGGTGAGGGGGGCTAGTTGGACAGGGCAGGAAGCTGCAACAGGCACTGCTCAATGCGCCTCGCTGCCGCTAGCACTGAGAGCGCTACGCCGTAAAAGGTTTACATACTTGCACTTCTCTCGATCAATTCTCCTGGTTCCTATGGGCCTGTGCCCTCCCTTGCGTGGCCCGCCGCAGGGGACCTTGGCGCTAACGGCATGGGCATCAGCGAGGGCAAGATTGCTCTCTACACTGTGGCGGCGGGTGAGCCTGATGCTCCCTGTCTGTTGTTGCATTGTCAGTCCTGTGCTGATACTCCATGAACCTGCTGTGAGGTTGCCTCTTGCCTGGCGCCCTTTGCCAACTCACTTCACCCCCCACGCAATCGTCGCGCTTCCAGGCGTCGACCCCAGCCAGTGCCTGCCGATATGCATAGATGTTGGCACCAACAACCGCGCGCTGCTGGAGGACCCAGCTTACAAGGGGCTCAGGCAGCGGCGGCCCCCGCGGGCGGAGTTTGATGCATTCATGGCAGAGGTCATGGCGGCGCTGGCAGCGTGGCAGCCGCACATGCTTGTGCAGTACGAGGTGCGGTGCATGCGCGCGCGCGCGGTAGGGGTGTGTGTGGATGCGAGGGCGACGTGGCGGGCCCGGCGGCGCCGTGCGGGGTGCCTGCAGCCGCAGTACTAGGTGCTGTTGGTGGCATACAAAGCTGTGGCAGTTGAACAGGCGTACGCGTTCCATCGCCCGTCTGCTACAGGACTTTGGCAACAGCAACGCATTCAGGCTTCTCGACGCATACCGCCACGAGATGTGCGTCTTCAATGATGGTGAGGGGTGATGCCGCAAAGCACCCTGCTGCTGAGCATGCGTGTTTGGGCAGGTGCTTGCAATGTATGGGACAGCCACAAGCGGTCTCTGGTCAGGCTCGGTGACTTGGTGTCATCATCCGTGCCAGGAGCCCCTGCCCGACCTGGCGCTGCCCCGCTCTCCTGCCGCGCTGGCTCGCATCCGCAGACATCCAGGGCACCGCGAGCATCACGCTGGCCGGGCTGCTGTCAGCCGCGCGTGCCACGGGGCGGCCCCTCAGCGAGCACCGGATCCTGTTCCTGGGCGCCGGCGAGGCGGGCACAGGTGAGCCTGCTCCTAGGAACCCTGGTCGCGCCGCACGCCTCTTGCGTGCCTCGTCCCTGCCTACATTGCAGCCTGCTTGGTTGCTCCGTAACCGAGGTGACAAATTGATGCGAGGCTGCATACTCGGATTCACGGCTCTGATCCTGCTTGTGTGAGTGCATTCTCTTGGCTCCACCAATCCATGCGGCGCACCGCATACGCATTCGATGCCAACCTCCAGGCATCGGTGAGCTGGTGGCTCACTACATGCACCTTCGCCACGGCACAACCCTGGAGGAGGGCCGCGGGCGCTGCTTCTACATGGACTCCAAGGGGCTGGTGAGGGGCCTCCCCCTTTGTCCAACTCAGCCTCACTGGCTGGGATGCGTGTCCGCCCTAGCGCCTGGTCGCCCATGCACGCGCCCTGTCTGCGAGCACTGCCTAGCCGCACACTTTGCGCCACGCGACGGCCGACCACGGCCGACCACGCCCCTGTGTGTGTTGGTGCGCCCCCTCCCGCTCATTGCAGGTGTGCGCATCTCGGAAGGCGTCTCTGCAGCACCACAAGCTGCCGTTTGCCCACGACGTCCCCTTTTGCGCCGACCTCGAGGAAGCCATAGAGAAGCTGCAACCAACGGCACTCATTGGCGTCAGCACCATCGGCGGCGCATTCAAGGAGCGAATTGTGCGACTCATGTCGCAAATCAATGTGAGTCTGCGCTGCGCTGCACCGCTGTGACTAGGGGCTATAGCAATGTGTTGCAAGGGAATTGAAGCTGGCCCTCGTGAACCCCGCTACCGTCTCTTCTCCACCTTGTTGACTGAACCCTGCTGCCCTCTTCGTCGGTTGCTCCTTCCTCCCCTTGCCTCAGGGCCGCCCCATCATCTTCCCGCTGTCCAACCCGACCAGCCAGTCGGAGTGCACGTTTCAGCAGGCGCTGGAATGGAGCGACGGCCGCGTGCTGTTCGCGTCGGGGTCGCCCTTCAGCTCGCTGCGCGACAGGGCGGGTGTGCTCAGGTCCCCAGCGCAGGTGCGATCGCTGCTCAGCTGCGGGGTTCTGACTCGGCTTCTCCCCTCTGTCTTGCCATTCGTGTAGCCCCCACTCTGTGCTGCCAGCGCATCCCTCACGTTGATGCCCCCAAAATCTAGTTGCATACCCACGCATACATCTAGCTCACCCTTTGGACATGCACAAACGTGCATTCGAAACGTCAACCTGCTCCTGCAGGCCAACAACGTGTACATCTTCCCGGCGCTTGGCTTTGCGGCGGTGGCGGTGAACGCGCAGCAGTTGACTGATGAGATGTTTGTGGTGGCGGCAGAGGAGCTGGCCGGCATGACCACACTCGATGATGTTGAGGCGGGCAGGTGCGCATGTGCAGAGGGTTGCGCACTGGTTCTAGAAATGAATGTTGGGTCCAGTGCTTGTTGGCGGCTGTTGGCTAGCAGAGTGCGCGGTGCTCCTGGGCTCGCATTTTTTATTTTTGGGAGAGCAGTGCGCCCTTTTCTGTGGAAACTGTCCTGTGCGGCAGAAGCGACCTTGTGACTGGCAGTGCTGTACCAGGGTGCCTTCCTCATCATGCGTTTGCCCCTTGCTGCTGCCTCCCCCCTGCTTCTGCGCTGCAGGTTGTTCCCTCAGTTTGCGTCCATCCGCGCTGTCAGCGCGCGGGTGTCGGCTCGGGTTGCGAGCTTCGCGGTGGCAGAGGGCTTTGGCACTTGCCCTGCGGGCGTCCGTGATGGTGCGAGCTTGGACGAGTGGGCGGCTTACTTCAGCCGCAGCATGTGGGGCGCGGGCGTGCCGATTCAAAGCAAGCTCTGATGCAGGTCTGTGCGGCGTTGTTTCCAGCATATCGCAGGGCTTCAAAGGCACTTTGCATTTTAAGTTGGAGAGGCAGGCAGATCGAGTGTCGCCTGAATTGGTTGCTTTGGGAAGCGCGCTAGCAGCGCTCTTGGTGTCGATTCTATGCCAGATAACGATTCACATGGCAGCTGCAACATTGCTGCCTCTCACAAACGTTCAGCATCGCTGTTTGGCAATTAGCTTCCCCCACATTGCCCTTCCCTATGCTTGTACTTCGTGTCGCTCTTGTCACTACGCGCTTGACGCAGCTGCTGTGCGTGCTTACATGCCGTGGCCCCGTTTGTCGGTTACCTGTTGAGATTTTTGTGCGATGGCCCCAGGGGGATGACAAGGAGGTTGCAGGGGCAGGGTGCACCGCTATGGATTAACAGCCTGGAAGGCACAAGCACGAATCGGTTGCAGGCTGTGGGCAAAGAAGGTTATCGCGGCTCAGCAGCCACGTCGGGCGGTGCAGCAGTACGGTAAACCGCAGTCATGGTGTAGCTCGTGCCACCTGCGGTCACGGCAGCCCTCTGTTCCTAGAGACCTAGTCTTAGAGCACTTGCAAGCACCTTGTCGGCAGGCTACTTTGGACTCGCGCTGTGCGGCATCAGATCACGGTTCGCGTCTCGGCGCCCTCTTAGGCGCTTTCAAATGATCGAGGGGCATAATAAATTACCTAGCTGACAAGCCGCCGCCGCGTGGTGGCGGGTGACGCAGCGGCATGAGGGTTGTATCCCTGTTCACTGGGTGTGGGGGGCTGGACCTGGGCCTGCAGCAGGTGCGGCGCCCACTCACGTGGATGGGAAAACGCGATTTCATGATTATACCACGTGCATCTTGAATAGCTGCTCGTGTCCAGCCCTGTCCGCCCGCGGTCGCATCCTGGCCTCGCTGTGCTGGCGTGCCACACACGGGCCGTGGCGGTGCCGACGCCGACCATGCTCATTGCGAATTGAATCCAAATTGTCAGCTTGCGGATGTAAGTGGTTCCCTCCGTCGTGATTGTGTATCGCAGGCCGGGCACCAGATCATCATGCAGTGCGAAAGCGACCCCGGCGCCCAGCAGGCACGTTGTGCCAGCCGCAGTCGCCCGGGACATGCATGCCATGCGTGAGCCATGCGGCGCCATGCGGGGCACTGCAGGCCCTGACGAGTCCTGAGCGCTGACCTTACATATTTCAGCATGTCATGGCAGCATGACGGCTGGAACACCCATTGTGTTGACCCTGCCCCTCACCCGCGCCCAACGCCACCAAACCCCGTGGTGCATGATCGCGCCGCGCAGGTGCTGCGCAAGGCATTCCCAGGCGTGCTGCTCGAGCCAGATGTCTGCGGGCTACGCGCGCTGCCAGAGGTGGGTCCGATGGGGCCCACCAAACCCTGCCTCGACCTGCGAAACAAGCGGACACAAGGGCTGCTGCCGGCCGCCCCCATGGCTGGCCGCCGCCATGCGCAACGGCGGCCGCGACCTCACAGACCAACGATACAATTTGCTCGCGGGTTCCTGTTCAGGGTACGGAGGTGCTGGCGGCGTCGCCGCCCTCAGGGGCTCCAGCACCCAGGGCAGGCGGCAAGGCCGGCGTCGACGCGCACGTGAGTTTCCCGAGAACCTGTGATGCACTCCTGACGACGCGCCTGTCCTCTTTCTGTGCACTAGATCGCTCGTGTCGCGTTGCACCTGTCAGTCAAGGGGTCGCCCAAGCACCATCGCACCGATTTGGTCGTGCGTCCTGCCCTGCTGAGGGCCCCGCCCCACCACGAGCAACCGCCGCCAACCGTCCCCTCGCTGCACAGTGCCTGTCAGCCCTGTGCCACGTGCTGCGGCTGCTGGACCAGGCAGCCAGGGATGGGAGCCACGTGCCCTGGGTGCTGCTTGAGCTGGTGCGCGCGCCCATGCCAGCTGCTTTCACATGACGTCCCGTTTGCAGCCCCGTGCAGCCACTCACGTCAGCCGCGTGGTCGATGCCTGTCGCTTCGCAAGCCATGCTAGCGAGTACGCTGGGGCGCAGACGCGGCCTTCAACTCTGCATTTGCTACAACGCCCTGTTATCCGCCGTCCACACCAGCCCCCTGCTCCCTCTTTGGGCCCCTAGCCCTTGTCCTCCCTTGAGCAGTGGCACGGCGGCTGTCCCCTGGTTGCCAGCGTCGCGGCTGACTTGGAGCGGCTTGGATACGCCAGCTGGGCGCAGCGGGTCATCGGCAGCGCGGGCTTCGGCGTGCCGCTGAGCGTGCGGCGCGTGGTGGTGGTTGCTGCGCGGCACGGCGACGCGCGGGACGTGCTGTTGGCGCAGGTGAGCGGGCGGCTTATGAAGCATGCAGAGTGGTTGACATGTGTGAGTGTCTTTGCATGCGTGTGTGCGTGGATGCTTGAGTGCCGTGTGGTGCACTGCCATTGCAGGACGCCACCAGCTACCAAGTGCCTGTACCACTTCCACAGGGCCAACACCGCTGCCGTGGCGCGTGCAAGCAGCTTGCTGGCGCCGACTGCTGGGAGTGCTTTAGGTGGGACCAGCGCAGCGGCTTGACGTGCGTCATGCAGCACAGCGTTGATTACGTGACGCCCGCCGCTCCCAGCTTGCGACGACAGCCACGCCAGCCCTGCCTGAGTCATGTAGCCACAGCCGTGAGTCCATCCAGGGCTGATACAGCCCTTTCAACTCCTCCCCCACTGCCATCATTCGCACAATGTTGGACGCTCCATTCTCAGGCCCGAGGACAAGGAAGTGTTTGCGGCTGAGGGCCAGGTCCGCCCCCTGATCCGGGACTCGTACGCCTGCGACGGCACCAATCAAGCCAGGTGGGGCCGTCGCGCGCATTCTAGGCGATTGGGCTAGAATGCGCATTGCGCGGATCTGGCGTAGCACCAACCTGTCTCTCTTGTTCCGACACAGCGGGTGTGCAGACGCGCACACGTGATGTGCACACAAGCGCATTGCACAAATCATAACTCTATGCAATCACCACACACACACACACACACACACACACACACACACTGAGACACACACACACACACACAACACACACACACATGCACGCACACACGTACACACTACAAGCGCAAGTGTGCCTCTAACCCATGGTCCGCTTGTGGCACACAACCAATGCAAGCTATTTTAATCCCCCCTTGGGCCCCACCTCACCTCCTCACTCCGAATCCAGCCTTCCCTCCGTGGACCACGTCGACGGCCTGCCATGCGAGGGCGGCGTCTGCCTGCTGCTCAACAGCGGCGCGTTTGGCATGCTGAGGGTGGAAGACGCGGAGCGCCTGCAGGTGGGCCCTGGGGCCAGGGCGGCCCCCAGGATCTGCAGCTTGAGAAAGGGCAGTTCGCCAACCCTTGGGAGAAATCAGCCTTCCAGCTGGTCGCCAGGCGGGACGCGCTTTTTTGAGGCAGGAAGCATGGTGGCCGGAGGCGGCGGGCGAATCGTCCCTCCTGAAGCAGGGAGCAGGCCTCGGTCTTGGCCTGCTGTAAAGCATCTGGTTCTAGTAGTCTGATAGTTACCGGCCTTTGTGCCTTCACATCCCTAGGCCCTCCCGGAGGGCCACACGCGGCCCTGCTACCCGATCCAGTCCCCGGGTGTCGGCCAGCACCGCGCGACGGTCAGCCGCGACCAGGAGGCGCAGGCGCTGGAGAGGCGGCGCCTCGCTCTGATTGCCGCCGCCACGAACGTCAGGGTAGGGCGGTGCTGGAATGAGTCTTCTTCAGCAATGGACAGGGCCCTTCCCCTCAGCTGTGAATGCCACAGCACTTCAGGCTTCCTGGTGGCATGTGCCGCCACAAGCATTCCGGCGCGTTGGCTGTTCGGCTGCCTGGCCCAGCTGAGCTCTCGTGCGGCCTCGGCCCAGCGGCACTGTTCGGCTGCCTGGCCCAGCTGAGCTCTCGTGCGGCCTCGGCCCAGCGGCACCCCGACACACGCCCGCTCGCACGCGGCGGGGGCGGTGCTTTGCAGGTGGCGCGGTGGCTGGGGGAGCGCCTGGCGCGGCCGTGCGGCGCCAAGTACCTGCAGAGCGCGCGCGACGTCCCGCTGCCCACTGAGATGCAGTCGCCCTCACTGGACGACGGGTGAGGCCCCCGCTGTGCTGCACAGCAGTGTTGGTGTTGTCACAGCTTCAGCGCCGTGGTATCGGGGGACAGGCACGCGTGTGCCTCTTGCAACGCCAAGACAGGCGACCGCCGGCAGCCCAAATACAGGGGTCGTGCAGGGCGTTGCCGGGCACTGATTCCTCACTGTCGTTGTCCCACAAACGTGCCAGTCCGAGAGATCAGACAGCGGGGCCCCCATATAGCCCCTTGCATTGCCCCCGCGTCTCGCGCCGCCGCAGGCAGCTTCTCGAGGCGTGGCAGCTGCGGGACGACGCCCTGCACGGGCGCGGCGCCGCGTCTGGCGAGGGGCTCTTGGTGCACCAGGCGCGCCAGCGCCGCCGGCAGCAGCGCCAGCAGCAGACCCACCAGCGTCAGCAGAAGCAGAAGCGCCTGCACCGCAAGCGCCAGCGGCAGGACGGGGCCGGTGGCGTGGCGGCGGCGCCGACGCACGAGGACGCGGTGCCCGAAAACGACGATGATGGCGGTGACGAAAATGGCGAGGCCGGAGTTGAGCAGGACGAGGATACTTGCGACGCGGTGCTGGCCGCCAGGAGCGCGGCGATAAGCTCGTTCGAGGAGGGCAGCCAGACCTGGCCGCAGGCCGCATGGTACCTGGCTGGGCAGGTGGGTGGGGTTTGGGGCCAGTGGGTCGCGGGGTTCGGCAGCGGCGGGGTCAGGGTCGCCCGTAAGGGGCTGCCGGCGCTGGGCTGCATGCACCTCAATGGGAGTATCACATATGCCGTATCAACCCTGCCCACATTAATTGATCGCATGGGCCCTGCCTAGAAGTGTGTCCGTGTCAATTGATCGGCACTGCCCAGAAGTATCCATGAATGATGTCTGCTCAGAGGCCCTGCGAAGGGATGGGCCCGGCCTGGAAGAGGCGTACCCTGGGTGGCTGTGGGCCCCGCCTCTGCCAGGGGCGCGTCGCCCACCCGCCAACGCCTGCACAGACCCAACAACCGGCCCCGCTTCCGGTCTCCCTTCCCCCCAGGGCCGCTTCTGCGCCGGCGACTTGTCAGAGTCTCCTGTCAAGGAGTCCTTCATCCCCCTGGCCGATTTCATCGACAAGGTGGGGGCATCACACCGCCGGGTTTGTCGCCCCTGTTTTGCAGCCGTGAGGGCATACATGAAGGCCTCCCGCTCGCAGCGCCGCTGCGCAGCGCCTGAGCTCCTTGCCTCGCGCTGCGCACATCGAACCAGCTGCTTCAACATTGATTCGAATATCCTCTGCGCGCCCGCGCTGCAGGTCGGCCGCTTGCCGGACGGATTGTCCCTGCAGGGATTTGTCAAGCATCTGAAGGACAAAGGCCTGGACATGAGGAGAGCCGAGCAGCAGCTGCTCGGCACCTGCCCGCCTCAGGGCCGCCCGGCCTCTGCGCTCGCCGGCGCGGCGGCGGCGGGCGCAGACGCCGAGGCGGCTGCGCTGCGGGAGCGGATGGCCGCGTGCGTCGGGGTGCTGGCTTGGGGGCGCGTGCCGCTGCCGTTGCCGCAGGTTACAGCGGAGATCCAGGCCGCGTGGGCCGCGCGGCCGGCGGCGCCGGCGCCGGCGCCGCAGGCGCAAGCACAGGCTGTGCTTACGGCGGGCCACCGGATTGCGCAGCTGCAGGCGCACCTCCAGATGCAGCTTGCCTGGGCCGCGCGCTCACGGGCGCGGGGTGGCGGCGGCGGCGGCGGGGCTGGCGGCGAGGCGCACGGCTTTGCCACGACGCCGCTGCTGTTCAGAGAGTGGGGAGCGCCGCCGGCGTTCAAGCCGGCACTGCCTGATGAAGCCCTCAGTGCAACCCACAGGGAAGCGCGCAAGAAGTTGCTGGAAGCCTTCATGCCCGCAGCGGACGGCGCAGGCAACCCAGCAAGCGGGGGCGAGGCGGCGGGGGCCGCCGCCGGGGGCGCGTGGCGGGGCAACAGAGCGTCACCATTCGCTGCTATGGAGTTGGCCTGGCGCGGCACCGCACCCGCTGCAGCCGGCAAGGGTGGCGGCGTGGCTAGGAGCGGCGGCGACTTTGGCGGCAGCGGTTCGCTGGCGAGCGCGCTCACCGCGCCGGGCACGCCTGCGCTGGCCGCCCGCCACGCGGGCCAGGCCAGGCCGGAATCGCCGAAGGAGTTGTGGGCCGACGGTGCAGCCGGCGGCGCCGGTTTGGTCCCAGACGGTCACACAAGTCCTCGGGGTCCGCAAGGCGACAGCTGCGGCGGTGGCATGGATGGCGCAGGCGTAGAAGCATCCTGCCCAGAGGCGGGGGGAGAGGAGGCCGGTCTGTACGAGGTTTACAGCCGCCTCCCGCTCCTCACAGCAGGGCCAAGCCGATGCGGCAGCCACGGCAGCCCCAGGCATGCAGGTGCAGACAGTGCAGCGGCACCCACGCAGGACACAGCGGGCAGCGCCGAGCAGGATGGCGGGCATCTGGGAGCGGCTGAGGCGCCGGCGGCTCTGGAGCATGCTAGCCACGCCGACGCCGATGCCGAGCTGCGTCTGATCGCGGCGGCAGCGGAGGGTTTGCATGGCGGACAGCACCAGGGGGCAGAGGGGCAGCAAGACAGGCCCCAGCAGGCGTTACAGCAGCAATGTGTTATATCAACAGGCTGGGCAGAAGAGCAGGAGGAGCAGCAGGAGCAGGAACAGCAGCAAGGCAAACGGCAACACAGTGTTCAGCAGCAGCAGCAGCAGCAGCAGCAGGAGGTACAGCAACACCATGGGCAGCAGCAGGAAGGGGAACACAACGAGCATCAACAAAAGTCGCACCAGCAGGATGCGCAGCAACGGGCAGGACTGCAAATGGACAAGGAGCAGCGGGAGGAGGAGCAGAAGGAAGAGCGTCCAGCAACTGAGAAGGCCTGCTGTGAGACAGACACAGGGCCAAACGGCGCGCGTGGACCAGGCAGCGCCGATCCAATGCAGCAGCGCGAGATGCCGCCGCGTTCCAACACGATGCAATCGAGAGAGGAGCAGCGGCAAGAGCGGGCGGAGCAACGGCAAGTAGAGCAGCAGCAGGTGGAGCAGCGCCATGCAGAGAAGGGGCAGGTGGCGCAGCGGCCGGACGCGCCGCTGCTCGCTTTCGAGGAGCGGCTGACCCGACAGCCTGGCGAGACAGACGAGGGTGGCACAGGGGAGGCAGGGGCGGACAAGGACACAGACCGGCCGGCGAGCAGGGCACAGGACACAGGCAACACGCAGATGGAGACGGCTGAGGAGCGCTACGGCACGCCGCTGCACCAGCCGGGGACCCTGGGCTGCCGCGGCAACGGCCTGTGCTCTGAAGCGTTTGAGGCGCGGCGGGAGCAGCTGCCGTTTGAGCAGCCGCCGGGCATTGAGGTGCGAACAGCGGGTCTCCCCAGAGAGGGCGCGGCCGCCGTCGCTGCCGACGCCGCTCACCGCGCCAAACCTACAGATGGCAAAGCGTCGGACGGCAGAGCTGAAGCAGGGGAAGGGCCCGCTGCGGAAGTGCAGGCGCTTGATGGGCTGGCAACGGGCGACGACGCGGCGGGATTGGCGCTCTCCTTGGTCAGGAGGGAGCCCCTGGATCCCCCAGCGGCGTTAGCCGAGGACAACACTGCCGCGGCCGCCGTCGGGGCCGCCGCCGCGGACCGCAGTGGGGGCACGGCCGCGACTGCTGACGACGACGGCGGCGGCGGCGGTGCGCAGGGCCCAGCTGCGGCGGCCCGCGATGAGCCCCCAGCGCCGAGCGCGGCTGACCCCGAGTCTCCAGGCCTCTGGTGGCCGTGCGAGGTTGTGGACCCCTGGGCGCCGCCAGACAAGTTCGAGCTCCGCCTGCAGCACCTTTTGGCGCTCGCCCCGGCCGACCGCGCCGCGTCCGTGCCGCCGTCTCAGCTGCGGCGGCTGCTGGGTATCCTGCACTTCCACCCGGCGCTCGCGGTGGCGGCCACGGAGGCGGCGGAGGGGACGCAAGGCGGGGCAGCGGGCAGCGACCCGTGGGGCTCTGCGGCGGCGGCGGACCCGAGAGCGCCGCCGCCGGAGGGGCGGCTGCTGCTGGTGCTGTGGTTTGGCACTGGCAGCTTCGAGTGGCGGCCAGGGCAGGAGCTGCTCCCTTTCTCAGAGTACCGCAAGCACATGGAAGGTGCGGGGGCACGGGTGCCTGGTGTGAGGGCACGGGTTGCTTGCAGGTGCCAAGGATTTGGGAGGGAAGGACGGGCCCCTAAGCATGATAGGAGGGGGATGCCCGTGAAAAGTCGAAGGTCATGCGCACGCATGGTGGCTGTTGGGGGCCCGCCACGCAGCTGAGTTTGAACGCAGCAATTCCTTTTGAGCCCTTGCCCTTTATACTCCAACAACGCTCGACCGACAGGTCTTTTCATTTAATTTTCCCCATTCTGCCGCCCGTCTTCGCCCCCCCCCCCCCCACATGCAGCTCACGCGCGGCTCCTGCAGGCGGAGGGCCTCCTGCCCCGCACCTACCCCGCCGCCCTGGCTGAGGCCGTCGGCGCTGCGAAGCTTCAGGGCGGCTTCCGCGGCCGTGGCAAGCACCTGCTCATGAAGCCCGCTGACCTGGCTCGCATGGTTTCGGGCGCGCGGCCTCCGCCTCTGCCGGAGGCGCCCTCGGCAGGGCTGGCTTTGCTGGATGCAGCGAGGCTGCAGCTCGCAGCCGCAGCGAGGCGCGACGCGCTGCTGCTGCGCGCGGCGCAGCAGGCGCCGCTGCTGCCGCGGCTGTTCGCACCACAGGCGGCCGGCGGCGGGAGCGGCGGCGGCCGCGCAGCTGGCGGGGCCGGCAGCGGAGGGCTGACGCGGGCGCCGCAGGTGCTGCCCAACATACAGCGGTGTGGCGAGTGCCGCACCTGCCTCAACAGGCAGCTGAAGAAGGCGTGCCTGCGGAACAAGGTGTGCAGCTGCCGGCCACACGCGAGCGTGGGCAGGCTGAGCTCTCACGCCGTCAACTGGCTGCTCGAAAGTGCTCAGGATCGCACTGCTATGCAAGCCCTGCACGCAATCCTGATGGGCTTGAGGCAACCTTGTACTTGCCTGCCAACTAGTGCTCTTCAAGGTATCCCTGCTGACATCCTTTCAGCCACACCCTCAATTCCAACGCCCATATCACCCCCATCTTTGCGAACGACTCAGCTCATCCGGACTGAGATGGTCAAGGTGGTCACTGGCACCGGGGCTCCCCACACGCCTGGCAACCTGCCTACGCCCTCGGCCATGGTCGCCACCGCTGCCAACGCCGGCAGCGATGCCGAGCCGACTAGTAAACGCTCGGCACAGCTCATGCTGCCCGCGCCCCCTGGCGCACCTGCAGCTGGCGGCGTCGGCCACAACACAAACGCGGGCTCCATGGGCGCCCTCATGTCTGCAGTGGCGGCCCGGGGGTTGGAGCTGGAGATCAAAGGGGACGCGTTTGCCCTGAAGCTGCCGCCCTCGCGGGCGCCGCAGGTGCTCCCAAACCTGCAGCGGTGCGGGTCGTGCGACTCCTGCAGGAACCGCCACATGAAGCGCGCGTGCCACAGGAATCAGGTGCGGTCAGCGGACACGCCCCCGGCAGCAGTGCGGGCTGCGAGGCGCGCTGGCACACGCAGCTGCGTGCGTTGCTTCAGGCGGGCCCGGCCGCTTGCAAACCTGCAGCTGGCACCCTTCCTGCTGCAAACCTAATTGCACAACATCGTGCTTCTCAACTCGCTTGCCACCCCCCTTTGTTCAGGCGCTGAGGGATGCCATGCTGCGCGCCACAGCCAGCGGCACACCCCTCCCACCCGAGCTCGCGGCAGCTGCTGCTGCTTGCACCCAGGCGCCTGGAACCTCGTCAGGGCAGCAGCAGCAGCAGCCGCTGCTGCTGCAGGCACCGCCGGGCACGCACGAGCGGCAGCGCGCGCTGCGTGAGGCGCGCGTGCAGCAGCAGCTGCTGCGAGCGGCGCATGCGCGCGTCCTGGACGATGATGGATGGTCAGATGGGGAGCAGGGGCAGGCGCATCTGGTAGAGCAGGAAGCAGAGGAGCAGCAGCAGGCGGAACAGCAGCAGGTGGAGCAGCAGCAGGCGGAGCAGCAGCTGCAGCAGCAGCAGCAGCAGCAGCAGCAGCAGCAGCGGCAGCAGGAACAACAAGAAGAGGAGCAGCAGCAAGAGGAGCAGCACCAAGAGGAGCAGCAGCAAGAGGAGCAGCAAGAGGAGGAGGATCGCCAGGCAGAAGAGGATCGGCAGCAGCACCAGCACCACCTGCAGCAGGAGCAGCGGAGACAACCGCATCAGCCGCAGCTGCAGCAGCCATCGCCACGGGAACGTCCGGATCAACAGCAGGAGGACGGACTCCCAACAACTGGGGGAGATGAGCAGCTCATGCCGAGCGCCGCCCAACTTGCCGACGAGCAGCACATGCATGGGCACGTCGGTGAGGGCGGCGGCATCACCCCTGGCAACACTGAATCGCTTGCGCGTGGCAGGGTAGCTCGCCCTGACGACCACGAAAGGCACCGCCGCCAGGAGCAGCGTCGGCATGAACGACAGCAGCAGCAGGAGCACTCATGGGTGGAAGGGCACCAACAAAAACAGCAGCAGCAGCAGCAGCAGCAGCAGCAGTGGCAGCAGCAGCAAGAAGGGATGGCTCACAGTGCACAGTCTGAGGGTGACGATCGTACGGACAGTGGGCTGGCGGCCGCCGCCCAGAGTCAGCAGGCCAAGAAGGTGGCGACCGTGCAACCAGACAGTCTTGTCTGCAGCAGCAACGGCGACGGCAGCGGTCACAGCAGCCACACAGCCGCAGCTGATACTAGCAGTAACCCTCTTCCGCCGCCGCCGCAGCAGCAGCAGCAGCAGCAGCAGCAGCAGCCGCCGCTCAAGGCCAGCAAGACAGCACGTGCGCAACAGCTGGCAGTGACGAGCGTGCCCCCGCAGCGCTGCGGCACATGCAAAACCTGCCTGAACCGCCGCCTGAAGAAGGCGTGCATGATCGTTCAAGCAGCCCGAAGGGCGGCGCTCGAGGCGGCAGGCCTGCCGCCGGCTGCGCCTCGAGCGCCGGGCCTGCCGCCGGCTGCGCCTGCTGTCAAGCGCGGCGGAGGCGCCATGAGCCCAGAGCCGGGGCTGGCAGACGCCGCCTTGGACTTGATTCTGGGGCTAGGCAACCAGTCGTCTGCATCCGGGCCACCATTAGCCCCGAGTACACCCCTGTTGGCAGGGCAGCCTCAGCAGGAGCTGCGTGAGGAGCCTAACGGCGGCGCGGTCCAGCTGCCACCTCAGCTGCAGGTGCAGAGGCCAGCCGCTGCCCAGGCGCGCGCAGCGCCGACGCAGGCAGGGGCGTTCGCCGCTTCCCTCGTGATGATGTCACCGGATGCAGCGGTGGCCGCGGCGCGCGCCGCGGCAGGTGCGGCGGCGGCCGCAGGCGGAGGGGCGGCGCTCGCGATCGCGGCGACGCTACCAAAACTGCAGCGGTGCGGCGAGTGCCGAACGTGCAAGCACAAGCACATGAAGCGCGCGTGTCTGCGCAACAAGGTGGGCCGACCAGCAACGGTGGTTCATGGGCATTTGCTGGCGCAGATGCTCATCTGAACTCTGCTGTGCAGTGTTTTCGATTGTCCGACGACTGCTGCAACGGCGACCCCCGCTCTCTGTGCGGCGTTGCTGTGCTCCACGGCTGCGCGAATCTTACGCACGCTCGCCGCCGCACAACAAACTGACCCGCAGCTCATCAGGACGGCTCTTGAGGGTGTGGCACCCAAGCAGGGCGACGCCAAGTCCCTGCTGGGCCCAGTCAGGGCAGCCGCGCCCCATATGCAGCCGTCGCAGCAGCAGGGGCAGCAGCAGGGGCAGCAGCAGGGGCAGCAGCAGGGGCAGCAGCAGCAGCAGCAGCAGCAGCAGCAGGGCCTGCAGGATGTGGAGGTGAATGAGAGGCCCCTGAAGAGGTCACACAAGCGCCAGCGCCCAAGGGAGCCGCATGAGCGCGTGGCGGGGCCCCTCTTGCGGTCAGACTTGGCAGCCATCAAAGCAACCGCCAACCCTTCAGGCGATGCTGCCGGCGCGGCAGCGCGCTCAGACGAGGGTGGCGCAGGCTCATCCGGCAGCGGCGATGCCCAAAAGGGGCAGCAAGCGCTGGGCACCGCCACAGCCACAGCCACAGCCACAGCGCCGGCGGG